GGAGGAGGAGTATGATGATGATGAAAGTGAAGAAGACGAAAATATAGAAAATGAAGAGGACCACAATCCTTCCCCTCCTCTTGTCAAATTTGAAAAAAACAATGTTGTAATTAAACTTGATAAACTATTCGTGTCAGAAATAGATCTTTTTTACAAGCTCCTTGAGATTAGTGAGTTGGAAGAGGTGAAGGAGGAGGTGGAGGAGCACGAATAGAAGTTTGTTCAGCGGAGGAGAGGAGGAGGAGGTAATTATGTTTACAATTCTATCTCTCAATAAATATATGTATTACAGTTAGCAACCGAATTTTTTTGGACCAACCGTATTTTATATGATTGTCCCAAAAAGTAATTATAAATTATAATTAAATTATGGAAGGGTGGCGACTCATTTTGGGGAGGGCGGCGGCCCGTTTTGGGGAGGGCGGTGGCGGCGGCAGCGGCGGCGACGCACAGAGGGGCGATACGCCCGAAAACCGGACATTGGGGCAAAAAAATAAATTTCTAAAAATTTCTTATTTCGGTACATTTTCTTATTTTTCATACCCCAATGTATATAAAAATATGTTTCGATCATTAATTTTGATTAAAATTCTTACTGAAAATATTTAACGAAGTTCGTATTTGGAGTAACTAGTAAGGTTCTATCGATTCAATACATATTGCTTCAGAGAGCTCCTATATAAAAACTAGATCAAAACGATACCTAAAACTTTTATAACCTAAAAAATAAGCTTCAAATTTAATGTAGAGATTATTGTTATATTGAAAAATGATTTGGATATGCATAATAAATATATTGAAAAAAATGAAATTGTAATCAAAATTCAATACTTCAAATTATCAAAAAGTTTACGGTCCAAAACGGTCCAACGTCTGCGTTACATCAATCGATTGAGGAAAGTGTCTAGTTTACAAAAACCTATAATTGTTGCCACCCCTGAGCACCCCTAATATGAAAAAATTGTGTTCAAAGTTATAATGACGCGATAAAGCACGAAAACGCACACTGCGTTGCGCTGTAGTTGGGCGAAATGACCTCGCCCTAGCTACATTAGTACAACCAATAGATGGCTCAGCGTCCTTCCAAATTCTCGATTTCAAAAATTGACGTGCAATGTTATAAGAAGCATTCTGCAGACCACTCGAGCGCAAGATAATTTCTGATCTCTTGATAATCTGTATTTGTATGAGTCGTCAGAGATATTATTAACGTCTTGTTTATTTTCTCAATTATTGATGATTTTTTTTCTTGATTATTTTCTCCTTTGGTTATTTTTTCTTCCTGGTTATTTTTTCTATCAGTTCTTCGTTTATACTTTTCGTTTATTTGAATACCTCAATTCTTGTCACTTAAAAAGATTTTGTTTTATAACCATGCGCAATTTTGAAACAAATAGGGATCTTTTTACCCTTTTAAAAGAAAACAATCTAGATATTTCTGATTATAAAAGTTTAACAAATTTGATAACAGATAATCTAAATATTCATTTACCTCTACCTGTATTTAAAGAATTGCAGTATAAAATAACAAATTTTACAAAACATTTAAAATCGAGGTGGATACGTAGTAATCGGGACAATACTAAATTTATCAAAAGTAATGAAGCATGGTTGAATAAGAAATTTGAGATCCCAGATAATGTATTAAGTTTGATTTCTAGTTCATCTCATATACTTCCAAATACATCTAAATCTTTTGAAGAGTTAAGCGAAAGACATAAACGGAGAAAAACGTAGGAAATAAGAAATAACCCAGAAATGATTGATTTTATAGTGGATAAACAATTGAAATCAGACAATGCAAAATACATATTATATATGATTTCATTCAAAAATATCCAGAACATGTGAGAAAAGTAAGACAATTTTGTGAAGAAATCAGAGATAAAAAACTATATCAATCGATAATACGACTGCATTAGCTACATTTGTTTCCGCGAAATTAACTCGATATCAATATAATATTTTACGAAATGTTACGACATCTGCAACTATTGTGTGGCCTAGTTATTTCCAAATTCAGAAAGCAAAAAGGAGTGTCTTCCCAAATCGATCGAAGTTTCTGATAATGAAGCAAAAATAGCATTACAGAGTCTATTAGATCACACAGCTTTTAGACTCATGAAATTATTAAATTTTGATTCGGATAATACAAAAAATTTAATAATGATATCTAAATGGGGTTGTGATGGAGCGTCTGATCAGTCTCGTTATAAAATCAATTTTAATGATCCATTAAAAGATGATTCCAGTGTGTTTATATGCAGTCTTATGCCAATAAAAATTTATGATTCTGAAAATAATGAAATACTATGGCAAAACAATTATCCTTCTTCCACTCGATATTGCAGACCAATTATATTTAAATTTATTAAAGAAGAAAAAAATGAAGTCAAATCTTGCGTAAAAGAAATTCAAAATCAAATATCTTTATTAACACCATCAATCTCAGAGACAAATATTGTTATCACTCACAAATTATTGCTAACCATGGTTGATAACAAAATATGTAACATTTTAACAGATACGAGTTCGTCTATGAAATGTTACATATGTAATGCTTCTCCCAAGCAGATGAATGATATCAATTCAGCAAAAATTAGGACAGTAAAAACAGAGCATTATTCTTTTGGATTATCATCTTTGCACTGTTGGATCAGATGCTTCAAATGTTTACTGCATATTTCATATAGATTGAATATCAAATGCTGGGCAATTAAAAAAAAGGACGATAAAGAAAAGGTTGAGGAAAGAAAAAACGTATATACAATCTGCTTTTAGAATACAAATGAGTATCTTAGTAGATTTTGTGAAGTAAGGAAAAGGCACCATCAACGATGGCAACATAGCAAGGAAATTCTTTGGTAATCCAGAATTATCAGCAGAAATTACAGGTTTAAATAAAAATTTGATAATTAGATTTTCAATTCTTTTACAGGCAATTGCTAGTGGGAAAAAAATTAATGTACCCAAATTCACAGAATTTGCTCTTCAAACCGCTGAATTGTATGTTTCTTTATATCCGTGGTATTACATGCCAGCCTCTGTTCACAAACTTCTTTATGGAGTGGATATAATTAAATATACGATAGTACCAATTGGTCAGCTATCTGAGGACATTCAAGAAGCAAACCATAAATATTTCAGGAAATACAGAGAAAATAATTCTCAGAAAATGTCACGGAAATGCAACAATACAGATGTTTTTAATAATTTGTTAATTGCATCTGACCCTATTGTTTCATCATCACGAAAAATTATTGACAATAAGACAAAAGAACTCTCTGAAGAAGGTCAAAATCTTTTAGAGTTCAATAATGATGAAGGAATAAATTAATAAAAATAATTTTCATTGTGACATATGTTCCAAAAATGTGAGAGGCAAGGGGACTCACAATAAACAAGCACCCCAAAGAAATCAGATATCTATTTGCTACATCCTAGTCGTTGATCTCGGATAACGCTAAGAACAAAAATTAAATCCAAACTACATAAAAACGCTAATAGCGTAATACGACATGACAATTTTAAATATATAATATTAAAATGAAAAACATTTATTTATATATATGTGCATTTATTATTTTAAAATAAAATAAATATACTTTGATTAATTTTTTAGAAATTTCAGGGTGTTTCCAAATTAAATGGCAAAACTTCGGGAGCGTGTAGAGGAGTAAAAAACTAAGAAAAAAAGTCCTATAGACATATGCTCCTTTTTGCTTTGTTTCGCAGGAAATCACGAAAAAAGAAAAAAATATATTTAATTTATTATTTTAATTATTTTATTTATAAACTTTTTAATGAAGATTTTGTTCGAAATGTGCACCTCTTGCAGCAATACAAGCATTGCATCTGTCAAACACGGCTCTTGTAGCAGCCAGGCCTTTAAAGCATTACCGTTGCAGAAACCGTATACAAAAACCATATCAGCATATTCACTATTAGAATACGTACGCGGCATATTGCAAAAGACAAAATTCATCTACTATTAAAGGCTTTCAAAGAGCGACTGACAAATTCATAACAGAAAGTGGAAAATGTAATCAAATATGTCGGTGCTAGATATGGCAAGAAATATAAACATTTTTTTTCGATTTCTCTGTATTTTATGCATTTATCTTATTTATTTTTACTAAATTTCGAATTCTTCTATTGAAAATAAGATTGTACAAGGCAACGTCCGATTTTCGGGCGTTTCGCCCCACTGTGCGACGAGGCCCCATGGCAGCGGCGGCGGCAGCGCATATCAACGATATCGCTGTTTAGTAAACAGCGATACCGTTGATCGCGTCACCATACTGGGCCTTCCCCGCGCACTGAACT